AGCTTCTCTCCTCCTCTCTTTTCTTCCCCATATGGTTACGATCACCATCATTTGAGATCAAACCCTCACTGACCAACCCTAGAGGAAAAGAGTAAGGGGGAGCACCTTGCTCCGGTCACTTGCCGTGGGCCATCGCCATCCGCCGCATGCTCATCGACCACGACGACCCCGGCCACGGACCAATCTCCGACTCAAGCTCGTATATGAATCTAACTCGTCGCATCTGATTCTCCACAAGCACGATGGTCTCCTCACCATGTCGCCGGTTGGCCCCTATCTTCCTCTTCTTGATCTATCTTATGTTGCTCCTTTTCTTGATCTATCCGAGGGCGTACGGGTGAAGAGAGAAGGACGGGGTTCGGAGATGGGAGAAACAATCAATCCCTATATGCAACTCGCTCACCGTTCTTAGTATGTACTCATGAAACTTGTTTCGTAGACAATCCTTATGATACCAGAGTATCATCATCTTGTTTATTTGATTACCATATTTCTGAGTTTTTTTTTTCGCCAAAGGGTAAGCGACGAAGGTTGGATCTGAATCCAGGACTTTGAGATGAACTGTCAAAGTCTTTACCAGTTAAGCTAGTCGACACATTCAAATCCTGATACCGTCTGTGTTATTGGCATAAGTAAGATTCGTTCCTCTTAGTCTTTTATACACTTGCATTCATCGCTTGCTTTAATACTCTTTATCAGAATCAAGCTAACTTGAAATGCTATATCTCTGTCTCCCTCTTGTGTTTCAAAACCATACTATGTGTGATCCATGCCACTGTGTGTATTAATGTGATGCATGAATAGGTTCTATTGGAAATATACATCCCAGGCATGCAATTAGATACTGAAGTGGCACTCACCCATTTAGAAGCACTGTACTTGTGTATTTTCTCAATAAACAGGTCAAGAGCATAAATCTACAAAGTACATTGCTATGTTACAAGCACATTTCCTACAGATATTGTGATTGAGTGGATCATTTGTCTTAATATATGAGAGATAAACTGGAAGGCTTGATCCTTTTTCTTAGCCAGTGACTTGAATATTGTTAACATAGATGGAGATTATAATGCAGGTGATCCTGTGTTTACATGATTTACATGCCTCAAAGAAACCATATTTTCAACTTCTCAGACACTAGATTTGAATACAAATGATAAAGCAAAGTTCAAAACCATTGTACAGGTCATATTACATTCTCATCTGCCAATGAACAGCTAAAGACAACACTAAACATCTCAAAACAGGGGCCGATAACAGGACTGCCCTCAAATTTACATGGATCGGCTTTTATTTGTAAGGAAGAAATCATAGCAGCCATTCATTTTCCTGCAACATCGAAAGAATATGTTATAGAACTATAGGACGAGTAAATATGTAATCGGTTAGTTTATTCATTCAACCTACTATGGTGAAATCTTCTTATTTATAGACATCCAAATTGAAAAATATTCTTCTTTTAGTCTTGCTTTACAAGTGAGTTTATCGATATTTGCCATTTTTCCTTCGGTAGAAAGTCATATATATTTTTGTTGCAAGATGATTACTCTGCAAACACAGTGCTATTCCACAATGTTTTGAGCAAAAAGGAGAATACAAATTTTGCACAGGTGAATGTTTTTTTCTTTCAAAGCTAAAATTAAGAGATCAGACATCCAAACATTAGTCTTCCTTTCATCTACATTCTCAAAAGATGATGAGTTTAATAGTAACCCTTAAATTTTGCAGAATTATTCTAGGCTCTTAAATTATTTTGCAATAAAAGCAATGAACAAGTCTAAAATTGTTTTATCTTTGTGTACTTGCAGATGAAAAAGAAGGAAGAATCATCATCATCATGAGATTTTTTGTTGAAGACAAAAATTTTACCTGCTTCTGCTTCCCTTACCGTTGGAATCATTCTTCTTCCACAACTCTCCCTTCATCCTTACAATCCCACCCTTCTCTGCTTCTGCCAGGACAGGCCTCGGTGACACCTTTGCGCAAGTATTAGACCCTCCTGAGCTCTTCCTCCTACCTCCACCCAGAGAGATTGGCACGAACATTCTAAGGAACACCCCAGTTTCCATGCTCTCTTTTCTCAACAGCCTTCTCTTCTCTTTACTTTGATCCTTCACCTTCTCAGCTTTATCCTTTGCCTCTTCTCTCCTCTTCTCTATCGTTTCCTGCACCGTCTGGGCTATCCTCGGAGTCTCCACCATATCCCTCAGCGTGAGTTCATAAGCAGACTCCGGCATCTCCCTCACCATATCCAACATGTCCTGCCTGTACCTGGCAATCTCCCGAGCTCCTGGAGTCGGAACTACTTGCTTACCGTTGTGGTGCTTGTGCATCGGAGAGCTGTCAGCCGATCGAGCCATCGGAGACTCCATGGTCTTCCACAATGGCTGTGAAGGAGTACCACCAAGCTTGCCGGTGGTTCTTTCTGCCGGCGAAGCATGCACCATATCACCTAGGAAGCTATCGTGATCATCTCTACCTCTTGGAACTGGCTTCGCGAGACTGAACCGGTTGCCGGTGGGGATTTCTCGTCGTCGTAGTTGTCGGTGAGTGATCATGTTGAGAGATAGAAAGATGGGGATGGTGTGAATGGTGTGGAGAAGAAGGAGAGCTTGTGCTTCTATCGTCAAACACTCGGGCCTGCTTTTAAGGTGGGAGAGAGCCGTGTCCTTTTCCCTCCTCTCGTGTGTGTGTGGTTGGAAGAATGGATGCAAAGTCGTGGGTTTCTAGATGGTATAATTGTAGTTAATTGATGCACTTGCCCTTTCTCGAAGGTGGAAGACCAGCTTATCCCTCCCTCCTACCTTAAATCTTGTATACCATTCATACATACATACATGTGGTATGGATTTGCAATTTGTATTTGATTTCCTGATCATGAATCCCATAAGTGATGGATGGTGTGACTTTGAAGCTGATCATGTGAAATGGAATGCATTGGTCCTAAATTTCTAAAGGTTGACTTGTGGGAGACATCACTGTGATCGAACGGAGGACCTCTCACCAACCTTGAAAAAGTCTTCAGAAATTGCATCCAGACGTTCCACACGGCACATTACGTCGGCCGCTGGGCATTCATTATGACATATATGGGAAGGTTCTGATTTCAAACACATCAAAATTAGTGGTCCAAACACCATGAGTTTCGTGACTAATAGTCACTTCAGCACAAGAAATTTTGGAGCAAGGAAGGGTTATCAATGCCATGCTTTTAATTTTTTGCTTTATATGTGTATATTTACAGAAGACAAGATTTTAGCTAAGATCTTTTGATAATGTATCAAATTCTTTACCGATTAAACTAGTTAGGGTCTACTATATTTGTGAATTGTTATCACAACAACAAAATCATAAAACATCATATATTAAGGATTGATTATATTGATCTTTTATTATTATTATTAAAATTTATATAAAAAATTCATGTTCATAAAATTTGATATATATTTTTTTATCTAGGCTTATAATCGATATTGATGATATTGCATGTATAAATTGTTAGAGACTATAAATAATTTTTTTAAGGCAAAAATATACTTTTGCCCTGATTAAAGTTTGAGTCTTGATAAACCATGGACATCGAGTCAAAAACACTGGATAAATATAAATAAATTTTAAATTTTTTTTTCATTGTCTTTGTGAGTTCAATCATGTCTTTGAACCTTTTATTTTGTTTTAGGAACTATTAGTCGAAAAAAATAAAAAGATTTCTCTTACGACCACCATTAAGAACACCAACCTATGATAGTAGTAATTTGCTTCGTTAGGTTAAACACTAGACTTTGGGCACAAAGCAATAATATTGAAAAGGACAATTCCAATACACGTCTTCCATTGATGCGATGCGATGCGCCTATGAAAGATCAATATAAGTAATTTTGTTTCTACAAGTTAAAAAGATATCATTAATTTACCAAAGCTCTTTCTCAAATCATCAACATCGGAAGCATGACAAAACTTGTAGAGGAACCATTGGTGGCGTCAAACAAGGTAAGCCATCAACTTGGGAGTTGACTTCGATTGGTCATTTGATAAATATATTATTATCAATTTTAGATTAAGTTTTTTGATCAATGATTTATGTTAAACAAAGTTGATGAGTCAATTAACGTTTGAATAGAAAAGAAAAAAAATATGATAAGAATGTTTGAATAGAAAAGAAATATTGATGGATAAAGTGACTCGTCGTTACTCGATTATGCCTCATATGCACTATACTAAAGTTTGATATGAATTATGTTGGATCTGAACTAGAATGTCAAATCTTAGAGTGAAAAAAATAATATCATCCCCACTAATGGGTAAATTATTGCCATTGTGTTCCATGTGTTTCATATCCATGTAAGCAATGTATATTTAGATTCACAAGTATCACACTAACTCCTCATTGCCATTGTGTTTCATGTGTTTCGTATCCATGTAAGCAATGTATATTTAGATTCACAAGTATCACACTAACTCCTCTATTGCCAATTGT